GATAAAATCTGGTCCTTTGTTTTCCTCTGAGGAGCAGCGTCCGGCGGATGAAGCGATGTGTCCTTGGTCCCACGTGGAGATCCCAGAGCTGGGCCGGCTGCTGAAGGAGATGTCCTTGTGTCTGCTGGACCTCCAGGGTCTCTGCAGTATTCTGGCACAAAGAGCTCAGGGGAAGGAACCAAACCTGACGCTGCTGCTGGGCATGAAGTGTACGTGCACAACACACACACACAAATATATACGCACACTCTGAAGTCACACAATGTACATGGTTAACACACAGACACATGCACTGTATACTCCTGCTTCATGAAGGTACCAGCCGATGTCATGCTAGGAGCTAACGGCTAACTGTGCATCCAGTGTGGCTCCGCTGTGTGTTCACCCAGTATACTGTCCACAGGAGACATGAGGCTCTAAAACCAGACTAAAGCCCTGCTTCTGCACTGACTGGACCAAAGAAAACAGCCATTAACGTCACCTTAGGGGGAGGTTTGTAGGTGTATTTCTGAACTGGATGGAGCCACTGGGCCGAAGCAGCACACCACCACCTTCATTTGGCTCTGCATTTACACTGAGAGCACCATCAATGTTCTCATGTCACACACAAGTAAATACGAAGCAAAAGGTTCAGAAATCAGAAACTGATTTAAATGTAGCTTCCATCTGTATCTCAGTGTCCGTGTCAGAGCTGCTCTGCTCCCAGAGCTGCTGCAAAACTTCAGCCCAGCCTGAAGTCCTGATCTGGAAACATGTCGGCTCCATCTGGGCTCAACCTGCTGGACGAGTCCAGGCGGAGAAACTGGAATTTAATGTTGGAGGAGAAGAAGTGGTCGTCACAGGGAGACAGGCGTGGAGAGGAGGAGGACGGAGACAATTGTGTTGTTGTGGACAGAATCTGGGGTCAATCAGCTGAGACTGTTGCAGCATGTTCAGCTGTTTGAATGTTCTCAGGACGTTCCAGCAGAACTCTGAGTTCAGTCTGGAGGATGCTGAAGCAAACAGCAGCAGCTCCTGACCTCCTTCTCTGGTTCTTCCACTGTTAAACTGATGTTTGGCCTCTGGGTGGTAACCATGGTGACCACAGTACCTCCTCTGGTCACCGTGACGATTCTTCACATGAAGGCTGATCATCACTGATGGTCCAGACGCATGTGGAGTCAGAGTCACCTCACCTGGTCACAGTGTTACTGCTGCACAGTAGAACTCAGGTGATCGTGTCGTGCTCCACAAACAGCCTCTGAACTTTTTGACTGATTCCCTGAATGTCCAACAGTTTCTTGAGTTCAAAGCAGCTTACAGTGTAAATGTGCTGATTAGTCATCAGTAGTTTATCACCTGCTGCCACCGTGTGGGGAGAGGACTGTACTGCTGGCTGCTACAGCCGCCTCCAGGATGCAGCGCTTTCACTGGTTCATACGTTTCAGCTGAAGGTTTATTTCTGTTGCACTTACTTTCAGCCTGACTCACTGTTTTCTTTTCCAGCTCTGAGTGTCTCGGCTGAAGACAGCGACTGCGAGGTGAAGGTGGTTGAGGAAGAGCTGAGGTTCAAGCTGCTGGAGGTTGGACAGCTGAGGAGAGACATCGACGATCTGAGGAGGAGCATCTCCGACCGCTACGCCCAGTACATGGGAGACAGCTGTGTGTCCCAGTGACGCCTCTGAGTTCTGGTTTCTCTGAAGAACCAACTGGCCCGGCTGTCAGAGGGTGTTTTATGTACTGAAGCTGTGGAGTCTCAGATATTTACAACAGAGCTCAGTGATCGGCTGGACAGAAACCATAACTTCACATCTGAACTTGAGCCCTAAAACCTGCCGGCAGGTTTGAAAGGCATGTTGTTGTTTTTTTCAAATGTATTTTTTGCATTTATTGTTTTTTGTCGAGCAGTGAAGAGAGACAGGAAAGAGGGGAGACGAATGTGGAGAGACCTGCAGCAGAGGGCCGTGAGCGGGATTCAAACTCATCTTGTCCGGTTGAGCTATCGGGGCGCCCCGACATGATGTTTTTAAAGAAGCACCAAAATTACACCGTTTGTCACAGCAACAAACTATAAAGACATAAAGAATCATCAGATGTTTGACTCTCTAGATAGATAGAAGATTTTTATTTCTCCATGTGTCCGGGACATACAGACGAACCGAAAAGACGTTTCTCTCTCTTTGTCCTTAAACTCTTCATGTGTGAAATCTGAGCTTCAAATCTTGTTGTTTCATCAAAATCACTTTATTCTACGTGTCTCATTTAAAACTCTGCCAAAAAAAAACCTTTTGGATTAACCACAAACTGTTAAAAACTAAAAATGCTGAGCTCCTCATCGCAAACAAGAAGCCACGACAGCTGTGAGCAACAGTCAGTTTTCAGCTGAACTGCAGGAAGTGTTTCCACAGAGCAGTGGAGATAGAAACTCATTAACCATGTGAATAGTTAAACATCTGGAGTATATGGAGCCTCCATTCTTTTAAGTGTTAAAAACACCAGTGGACACTTGGAAATATGTTGGACATGTTGATTTCAGGTTTTACATTTTTGTAAAATAAATAAAGATTTTTTTTTTCTGATTTCTGTCGTTCTGTGTCCTGCTCTCCTCCTTCATGGTGTTCTGGTTCCACAGAGCTGCAGGACTTTATGCTGCAGAGGAACATGAGTCAGAAGCAGAAAGAGTTCAGAGGGTTAAACGCTCGGACAGAGTTTCACTTTTAAAAACGTCTGCACAGCGTCACAACAAACCAAAAGGTTCTGACTCAAACCTTGTCATCATGTTGAACCCGGCTGAACAGGTGAACTCAGAGTTTTACGGTAAAGGTTCAGCTCCTGCAGGTCCACATGGATCTGAGGCCTGAGGGCGACCCGGTCCACTTCCACTTAGAACTGAGCTGCTGAGAGAAAATATTACTGGTCTTTCCTTCAAATGACACTGGAGAGGACACAGTGAGGACTCAGAGGAAACACCTAGAAGCAACAGACTGGATTACATTATTACTGATGAGTCTTCATAATCTGAGACTTTTATGGACGTCCAGTGTGTGATAGATGTGAACCTGTAGATCAAAGAAAATGAGAGGTGATTGTGCTTTAATCAGATAATTTAAACCCAGAGTGAGTCTGTTAATGTGACTGCAGCAGTTCACCCTGTTCAGAGTGAACCCTGCTGGAAAAATGAACTAATTCAGATTTAATCAGATTATCAGACAGTTCTGGAGGGAGGTCGTGTTAATAATAAACATGATGTAATGAAATCATACAGGCTGTGTTTTGTTTCTCTTCAGTGTTTCTGGCACATTGTACAACTTTCTTTGGTAAATTGAATAAATTTAAGAAGACTCTATTTGCATGGAGCTCCACGTGAGGAGAGTTACGTAAACTGGTTTCTAACCAATCAGATGCCGTGCTGCGGGAGCGGAAGTAGTGAAGAATTGCAGCAGGTTTTCGTGCAGTCCAACAAACTACGCATTTTGTCTGCGGGATATTCTGCGCTTTAACCTGAACATGAAGCAGAGCTCCAGCGTCCCGGCGTTCCTCAGCAAACTGTGGACGCTGGTGGAGGACGGAGACACCAACGAGTTCATCTGCTGGAGCCAGGTAGCCACGGAGCGCTGTTAGCACGCTGGGCTAACAAACAGCTAGCAGGGTTAGCATCTGGGGCTAACAAACAGCTAGCGAGCTTAACCTACATTTACCGTCGCGGGGTTCGCAAGCTAGGCTATCAAACCGCTAACCAGGTTAACATACAGTTTCGTTAGCAGGGTTAGCTTTCACCGTATTAATGGACGGGTTTCAGTCGGGCTGCGCTGTTCATCACAGAGATGTTAGCAGCACCGCTAAAGATAAACACCTACTGTTAGCCTGTATTGTGTGGCTGCTGTTAGCATGCTAAGCTAAATGCAGTCTTCATCAGACAGGACCAGTTTAAAATGTGTGGTTCTGTGAGTTTCTGGATGTGGATGTGTGGAGTTAATGGACATTAGCTGTGAGGTTCTGCTCTTAGTGATGTTGTTGTTTTGTGTTTCCAGGAAGGAAACAGCTTCTTGGTTTTGGACGAGCAGCGCTTTGCCAAGGAGATCCTCCCCAAGTTCTTCAAGCACAACAACATGGCCAGCTTCATCAGGCAGCTCAACATGTGTAAGACTCAGCACCTCGTCCACAGCTTCTGTCTGAACACGTCTGAATGAGTCCAAGCGTGACCCAGTGAACAGTCTGAAATGCTGCAGTCACATTAACACACATGGATCTGGAGATTAAATGAATTAAAGAGTTTTTCCACATTTCAGCTCCTATGTTGGTCCAAAAGCTTTACAGAGAGCAAAAGACACAGTTTGAAAGTCACAGCACAGCTTTCTGATAGTCTTTGCTGAGCGATTTCACAGGATGATCAGGATCTAACAGCAGCTGTGTGCTTTTGTTTACATCAGACAGGTGAGCTGGCAGTTACAGGTGAGTCATTAGACGCACAATCTGTAGTACTAATGCGGTAGCGTGTTGTTCCCTGAATGCATCACCACACTGATGAAGCAGCACTGTGGCAGATCACTTGTCTGAGAAGACTTCAGTTTGTACCTGTCAGAACACCATCAGTCAGTTCTTCAGTCTGTCTGTGGTGGCTGTTAGATTCTGCCTTTGGTGGGTTAGACTGCAGTTACATGGATTAGATGCCATCAAGCAGCAGGGTGAGCTCTAACAACGACAAGCTCTGGTCACGGCTAAACTCAGACAGTTAAGGAGGAGAAGGAGGAGGCGTTTAGGAGACAGGTCTAGCAAGCAGCAAGGGAGGCTGAACGACTGACATCTGAGAAGCTTCAACACCATTTCTTAGCCAACGACACTGCCTCCGTCTGGAGGGGGCTCAGACAGATACCAGCTACAAACCAGCAGCCCCCGACCCCATGAACCACCTGCACCTGACCAACGACCTGAACGGGTTCTACTGTGGCTTGGAAAGACAATGGGACAGTCCTGAACCCATCGTCAACCATCATCTCCACCTCATTAGGAATTTGGACCCCTCCACAACATCACAGCCCAGACCCCCGTCCTCCTCCACCACCACAGACTCCTCCCACCGTCCTGGAGACAGACGTCAACAGAGACAGAACCCTCGCAAAGCAGCCGGGCCGGATTCTGTGTCTCCATCCACCTTGAAGCGCTGACCAGCTGTTTTCAGTGTTCACTGATATTTTCAACACCTCACTGGAGATGTGCCACAGACCAGTCTGCTTCAAGACCTCCACCATCATTCCCTTCCCAAAGAAAGCAGGACCACTGGGCTGAATGGCGACAGACCTCTGTGGTGATGAAGTCATTTGAGCGTCTGTTGTCCCATCTTTCATCCATCACCGACCCACTTCTGGACCCTACAGAGCCAACAGGTGTGTAGACGGCGCTGTCAGGGCGCGGCCCTCAGTAGGAACCTTCGCTGGGATCCTTTTCTTGATTTCAGCTCTGATATTAATATGATTATCCTGTCTCTGCTTCAGGACCAGCTGTCCGAGCTGCACCTGTCTGACTCCACCTGCAGGTGGATGCTGACTTCCTGTCTGGCAGGAAGCAGCAGGTGAAGCTGGAAACATGTTTCTGACTTCCGAACCACTGACACAGGATCACCACAAGACTGCGTCCTTTCACCTCCGCTCTTCTCCCTGAACTCCAACAGCTGCACCTCCAGTCACCAGTCCATCAAGCTCCTGAAGTTCTCAGACAACACCACCCTCTCTGGACTTACCTGTGGTGGGGATGGGTCTGCTACAGATGGGAGGTTGACCATCTGCTGACCTGGTGCAGGCAGAACAACTTGGAGCTCAATGCTCTAAAGACAGCGGAGACGACTACTGACTTCAGGAAGGACCCATCACCCTGTGGCGCTGCCGCTTCCTGGGCACCTTCATCACCCAGGACCTCAACCAGGACCTGAACATCAGCTCCCTCATCAAGAAGGCTCAGCAGAGGATTTACTTCCTGCAGCAGCTGAAGAAGTTCAACCTGCCAAAGACAATGATGGTTCACTTCTACACCTCCATCACTGAGTCCATCCTCACCTCCTCCATCAGCGTCTGGTAGCTCCTACTGACAAGGTCTAAACCAGACTGCAGTGTATCATCTGTTCAGCTAAGAAGATGATCGGCTGGCATCTCCCGACCCTCCTGGACCTGTCCTCGTCCAGGACCTCCAGGACCTGTCCTCCTCCTGGACCTGTCCTCGTCCAGGACCTCCAGTACATGTCCTCCTCCTGGACCTGTCCACTTCTAGGACCTGTCCTCCTCCAGGACCTGTCCTCCTCCTGGACCCGTCTTCCTCCTGGACCTGCTCTTCATAAAGCAAAAAGGCAACGTTGATCTGATATGCAGCCAGCTGCATGGACGTCCTCAAAGCATGAGTCACAGAGTAAGAAGGAGCCTCCCTCACTAAGACTAGAGAGGGAGGCCACCAAGACTCCTATGACTCCTCTGAAGGAGGTACTAGAAGGAGACTAGTGAGGGAGGCCTCCAGGACTCTGAGTCTTCGTTCATTTTAGTGCCACAAATATAATTGAAGGTTTCAGTGGAAGTGGCTCTAATAAATATCTAATATTAATTCAGTGATATCGATGCGTCTAACAACAGAAGCTGGTTCGTATAAATGTGACTCTTTGTTCTGGTGTGTTCTGATCCTGTGACTGTTTCTGCACTTGCGTACATGCATTTGAAAGGTTGTTGTGTTGTCATGTTCATGCAGATGGCTTTCGTAAGGTGATGCACATCGATACAGGCATCGTGAAGCAGGAGAGGGACGGTCCGGTGGAGTTTCAGCATCCTTACTTCAAACACGGACAGGATGACCTGCTGGAAAACATCAAGAGGAAGGTCTGTTAGTGATTTAAGGAGTTGAGGCATTTCAGGTGACAAAATGTTCAAAGTTCAGACGAGGAAACTGTGATTGATGAAATGACTCAGCAATAAACCAACAAGAGCTTCTTCTGCTGTAAGATGTCTGAAACTTCTCTGGTTCCTCCTCATGTGCTGATTGAACGTCTCAGATATTCTTTAATTCACAGTTAGACTGTGCTTTATGTTTCCAGTGTTGACACACCGTAAGCTCAGGGTTTGACTGTGTGTTCCAGGTTTCTAACACTCGGCCAGAAGACAACAAGATCCGACAGGAGGACCTGACCAAGATCCTGGCGAGTGTCCAGAGCGTCCACAGCAAACAGGAGAACATCGACGCCCGGCTGGCAACGCTGAAGAGGTGAGAGGTGGACGTTATCCCAGAAAGTCTGCACAATATTAAACAGACAACATAACCGAGTGGAACAGTCACGCCATCCAGACTGAGTGGAGGGATGATAGCGCCACGCTCAGAAGAATGGTGCTGTCCAGGTGGTTCAGGGTTTCACCGGAGAAGCACCATTCTTCATCATCCATGACTCCTGTAGAGTCTGTGGAGACGCTTATCGTCACTACATCATGTCCCCAATTACCAGTCAAACCAGTGAATTACTTTGTGACGAGGTCATTGGGATCAATGATGCTGGCACGTTGATTGAACTGACTGATCAAAACGTTTGGCCAGGTATCGAATCAAAGTCAGAACGTTGATGTTGTGGCAAAACGACCAGGATCAGAGTTGGCTTTAGCAGTGCGCCACCTGCTGGAGGGGCATCAGGCACAGGAAGGAATGTTTGCTACTGAAATCAGTGTTGAAACCAGAACTCTCCCTGATTCTGATCTGCTGAGTGCGCTGATGAACTCTACCCCAGCTGAAGTCCAAATACTGTGTAAACTGTTTTTGTCATTTGTATCTACATCAGGACTGTTTCTGTCACAGCACTGTTGTTGTTCAGCATGTTAGCCACCTGCTAGCATCAGTATTATGGGATGTCTCACAGCAGTAACAGTCAGACTGCAGCGGTCTA